CTGTCAATTCTGTTGGAAGAGGTCCCTTCAGTGATCCTATTGTAGTAGAGATTGGAATGGGTATGTAATTATTATACTATATCAGTTCTGTGAGAATGTGTGTTTATTTAGTACCTGGTCCAGTTGGTTCAGTATCCAGTATCATGGACACTACATGGGCTGTTATCTCATGGAGTGTACCTAGTTATATTCCATCAGACTATCCCATTATCACATATGAGATAGGATATCATATCTTAGAGTCTGGCAACTGTTTAATGGTAGATGATGATGACATTGATATTCAAGCATTGAATCAATATAATGTATCCAGTACCAGTACTTTTATCATAATTACTGGTATTAATGATGACACTTGCTATATTTTTGGCGTACGTGCATATTCTAGTAGAGGACCAGGAAGCTGGAGGGCTATTGCTAATGAGACATTGATAAGTCAAAAAGCATGCATAGGATCAAATGATGAAGGTACACTTGAATAAAGTTCTATTCACAGTCATCATTATCATTTTAAAGGAGCTGTTGATGGTGCTAGTATTGGACTGGGTGCAGTGGTTGGATTATTATTAATATCACTAGCTGTTAGTATCATTATTAACATCTACTGCTTTATCAAGTATGAATGCATTAAAAACATAAAATACAATTCAATGTTGTTTATGAACATGTAGGCTTAAAACCTATGATGCAATTACTGCTAAGCAAACAAAGTGAATAAACACTCATTAAGAATAACTGTTTGTACATTACTGTTGTTTGTGATAGGCTCAATGATGATATACCAATGCAAGCTTGTGAAATGTATGGTATTCACAAGACTAAAGATGTTGCAGAAGAGGCCGCAGTATATGAGTGTCCTGATGTCAATGTTAATGACACTGATGTTTATGAAGATATGAACCAGTAAAAACTTAACAGTGCAATTTAATATAGATGTACACTGTGTAATGCAACAGTATAAAATGTCCATGTGCTTGTATATTCATTTTGTAGCTGGATAGTGTGACATAAATATACACAACTATATACATACTTCTCTAGATATACATCATACTGAGTCTATTATACTGTATAATCACATTAGTGTTATTGTAGCTACTTTTAGTCAAAATTTTGCAGTTTGTTTTTTTGATGTTATCTAATCAATGAAGTTTTCAGTTACTTCATATAGTATGGTGTTATGTTTGTGAAAGGTTAAAGCTGAAACTGAGGAAAATTCCTGAAGATGCAATAACAGGAACTGCTAGACTATATGAAGGAAATGACTCACACTACTCTGAACTTCTAAGTTATAAAAATCTTCATATACAATACATTTCACCATATGATTTCACACACTCAATGCCTGCTAAATAGTTGTCATACGTGTAAATTTAATTTTAATTTGCTTTCAAAAATTAACTCATTTCTTTGTGAGGTTTGACTACTTTTCTTTAAAATTATAAAGAAGATACACATGTACAAAATAAAACAACCTCATTAACCTGCTTTAATCTATGATAATAATAATAATAATAATAATAATAATAGCAAATAAGGATACAATGACAAAAAAACAAGAAAAATATTCAAAAGCAAGAAAGGAATGTATTATTAAAGACAATGCTAGTGAGTCCTACACATAATAATGTATGTACTTTATTCTCCCTAAAATGCAGTGAGAAGAGATTGCCTGTTGGTTTATTATAAGTAAAAACATGCACTGTCACTACTACTGTATGTCCTATTGAAGTTTGTCTATTATAATATTGTGTACATAAATGTCATGTGATCATCATGTGATGAGTGGTTTGATCTGTGGGTGGGTAAGTATCTCTTAGTGAAGTGGTCAGGGTTGGTCTATCAATCTTAGTGAGGTGTTGGCATAGGTGTAGGAAAGGGGGGGCTAGGGGGGCTGAAGCCCCCCAACTTTTCAGCAGGAGGGGCTTAGCCGCCCCAACTTTTGGTGGATGAACAATAAGAAATACCATTACATGGCTTTATTTCAAGTTGTTAGTGGGTTATTATTAGCTTGAAACTTCATTTACTTAAATGGGCATAATGTAGCAATAACAAATGGCAGGAATTAGGCATGCAGTAGCTGTCGAGAGCACATATGACAGTACATATTTATATGTTTTTATGTTCAGCCTCCCAACTTTCGAATCATTCCTATACCTATGGATGTTGGTGTTGGTGTATGATATTTATGCTGCCATCTAGTCTGGACATAACTGTTTTGAATTATCCAATTAGCCAATTATTAGACAATTATTTGTGTTACTATGGTTATAGCCATGCCTTATGCTAACATTTTGCAGAGCACTGCAGAATACCGGTAATTGCATTTTTGAGCAGAGCAGGCAACCCTGGCATTCCATCGTGATAATTTCAGTTTCATTGTTTTTCCTCCTGAATATGTACATGTATATAATGTACACTACAGACTCTTAACACTACACACCAAATCTAAGATCTATTTACACCAAATAGTCTCTTTTCTATAAGTTGTAATGGTAAATCCTTTTAACATCATATAGTATTGTTGCTGCTATTGTTACATGATGTAGTCATGTGCACACAGGGAGTGGGCCACACTACACTTAGTACACTTGTAAATCTAATTACAAAACTATCTGATGAGCTATCACAACAGTTTCACATGATTTGATAAACACACCCACAGCCATTTCTTTGGTCAACAATGCTTTCACTACAAGTGTTTGTCTTCTTGTTGAGTGTCAGTGAAGTTATTAGTCAATGTCCACCTTCCTCAGGTAAGACACTGGATGTGTATAATAACAACTGTATATCTAGGTTTTTATAGGTATCTACTTAGGAAAAAATGGAAACTGTTATACTAATGGATCATATTTTTGGGACAATAGTGTCAATGCAGCTAATGAAGCTATATCATGTGTGTTACCTGGTACTAATCTAACTACTGGTCAGTGGGTTAGAGTTGCTGATCCTGATGATCCTGTTGACTGTAACAGTAATAATGCCAGTGATCCTTTTCGTTGTACTTCTGTCACTTCACCTGATGCTACTATCAATCTTTATCTTGCTCAGGGACTAACGACAACTACAGAAGGCTGGTACAAGTGTTGTCTACCCACTGATTGTTCAGATCCTAACACTAACATCATCTTTGCTAATATATTCAGTAAGAGGAGACTATAATCACTTACTGATGTAATAATTTTCATTTGTAGGATTTGCAGAGATAGAATCATTTACTGTTACTGATCTTCCTTCTGATATGACAGTATATCCTCAGGAATACAAACTGAATTGTACTAAAATTGGACACCATGGGTATGATATTAGTATGAGCATTGGTAGTACTGCACTGGTTGATTACACTAATTGTAATGATGGTAGTAATACTAACCCTTGTCCTGGTACTGTGTTAGTTAGTAGTACCAACACATTAAGATATACTGTTAATATCACATGGGATGGAATGACTGTCAGTAGTGGATCAGGCAGTCAATCAACCACTGGAGATCAAATGTATCAGTGTGTACTGCAAGTTTTTGATCAACCAACTAGAACACGTATTGTAACCATAAAAGGTAACATAATTTGTTTGACTTTTAAAAATACTACTGTATATCTTTTTTATTAGTACCAGCAACTGCTCCCTCTTCTCTTACTGAAGTCAACAAGACAGCTACCACTATCACTGTCAGTTGGACTGCACTTGATTCATCTGATGCTGATGGATATGTAGTCAATGTCACTAGTGACACAGACACTGTGCAGACAGTACAGGTGGAGGGAAGTAGTAATAATACAATCACACTGAATGGACTGAGAGGAGGAACAACTCATAGCATCACAGTCAGAGCCTATCAACAATTACTGGGACCTGCTAGTAGTACAATCAGTGTACAGACCTTACCAGGTATTGCTACTGCACCTTTTAATGTACTTGTAACATTGTTGATGCATTTCTAGTTATTAATTCAATCAATTGGACACTAGTCTCATCCATTACACAACTCAATAACACTCAATATCGTATTGATTGTCTCACAACTACTGATATAAATCCTTCAACTGATGTTTACTGGTTAGTGAATGGAGTGATGGAGAGTAACTCAATGTATACATCAATTGATGTCCTGACATACAACAACACACTACTGGTATATCCTGATCCACTGGGAGTGTCAATTAATATTACCTGTATAGCAATGATTGGAGGAGTCAACTACAGTCAATCTGTGATATTACATGGTATGATTATACTTTAATCAATAGTAGATACCTTTGTCTCTTTTCTAGCTCCAAGTGGTCCTCCAAATAATGTGAGAGGGTTTATATTAAATGCTACTAGTGTCAAAGTGAACTGGACCAATTCATCAGTGGCTAATGGATATGTGATTGAGTATACTACTGGAGGTGTAACCAGGAATGTAGTATCTACCAGTGAAGATGAAATTGTACTAACAGATCTCTCACCAATGAGTACCTATACCATCAGTGTGTACTCATATATAGATCTTCCTTCAGTTAATAGTACAGTAACAGTGTTAAGATTTGATGGTGAGTTATTATGATTGAGAGAGTGTAATTGATATCTGTTGTAGTTCCTAGTCCAGTAACTAGTCTCTTAGTATCTAATGTCTCAACCACTGGTATTACAGTGAGCTGGACTATTCCCAGTAGTGACAACTATGTAACATACTACACCATCTCTTATACTCCATCTTGTCCCCAGTTATCATCAGTGAATGAGACAGTCTCTGTTGCTCCTCATCAGTCCGCTACAACATACAGTTATACATTAATAGGTCTGTACAGTGGTATGAACTATACCATCACAGTGAGAGCTGGTAATGTACTAGGAGGATCTGAATTAAGCATGAGCACATCAGCACAAACTGAAGCAATGGGTATGTTAATAATGTGTTCCAATATTCAAATTAATTATAATTACTTTGTAGTTCCTAGTGGTTGGCCTTCATCAATTCAAGTATTACAAGTTAATTCTACAGCTAATAGACTCACTTGGAATGAGGTCAATTGTTCTCAGCGTAATGGTCTAATCACAGGCTATACAGTGATTATCAGTAACAGTAGTATCACATACAACCTCACCAGTACTGAGATATATATCATATTGAATGATCTAGTATTTGGTACTGAGTATAACATCAGTGTAGCTGCTGTCAATTCTGTTGGAAGAGGTCCCTTCAGTGATCCTATTGAAGTAGAGATTGGAATAGGTATGTAATTATTATACTATATCAGTTCTGTGAGAATGTGTGTTTATTTAGTACCTGGTCCAGTTGGTTCAGTATCCAGTATCATGGACACTACATGGGCTGTTATCTCATGGAGTGTACCTAGTTATATTCCATCAGACTATCCCATTATCACATATGAGATAGGATATCATATCTTACAGTCTGGTTGCTGTTTAATGGTAGATGATGATGACATTGATATTCAAAGGCTACAGTTCATTAATTCAACCAATGACAGTACATTTACTACTAGAATTACTGGTCTTGATGCTATGTCTTGTCATATTTTTGGTGTACGTGCATACACAGACAGAGGACCTGGTGGATGGGTCTTTATTGCTAATGAGACATTGATCAGTACTCAATTTGTGACACCAACATTAGTAACTACTCAAGAAGTAGGATCAACTAATATAGGTATAATAATAATAAATGTGCTAAAAGTAAGACAAAAATAATTTCATATTTTTAATTTATAGTATCAGGAGCTGTTGATGGTGCTAGTATTGGACTGGGTGCAGTGGTTGGATTATTATTAATATCACTAGCTGTTAGTATCATTATTAACATCTACTGCTTTATCAAGTATGAATACATTAAAAACCATAAAATACAATTTAATGTTGTTTATGAACAGGCATAAAACCTATGATACAACCACTGCTAAGCAAACAAAGTAAATAAACACTCATTACATTACTATTGTTTATTGTTTATGATAGGTTTGATGATGATATACCAATGCAAGCCTGTGAACCATATGGTATTCACAAGACTAAAGATGTTACAAAAGAGGCAGTATATGAGTGTCCTGATGTCAATGCTAATGACAATGCTATTTATGAAGAAACATAACCTATGAAACAGTAAAAACTAACAGTGGAATTTAATATACATGTACGTGTACACTATGTGATATAACAGTATACAATGCTAATGTCTTGCTTGTTATGCATACATACAGTCCTACTAGATATACATTTTAGTTCTGGAGTGTCACTGTATTCATAATATCTTAGTCTATTTTAGTGTAACTTTTATGATCACAGTAGAGTGTTATTGTAACTACTTTCAATGTCCTTTTATCAAATCAATTCTAATGTTTGCAGTGTTTTTTTATAGTGTTACTATTTAATCAAGTTACAGTAAACAATTGACAGAAACTGCTGTATAAAGAAAATGCCTAACTAGGAGCTTTTGTCAAGTTCTGTTCAATGCTTGCCAGTTGCCACTGTACGTAAACCTAATGTTAATTTTCTTTCACAGATTAGCCCATTTCCTTATGAGGTTCGACTACTTTTCTTTAAAATTATAAAGAAGATACACATGTACAAAATAAAAGAACCTCATTAACCTGCTTTAATCTATGATGATATTAATAATAATAATAATAATAATAATAATAATAATAATAATAATACATGCCGGTATAACAATAATAACAACAACAATTCAAAAATGAAGATACAATAGTGAATAAACAAGATACAGGGTCAAAAATTACTAAAAATATTAAAAAACAAAACAGGAATGTATTATTAAAGACAATGCTATGAGTCCTACACATAATAATGTATGTACTTTATGCTCCCTAAAATGCAGTGAGAAGAGATTGCCTGTTGGTTTATTATAAGTAAAAACATGCACTGTCACTACTACTGTATGTCCTATTGAAGTTTGTCTATTATAGTATTGTGTGCATAAATGTCATGTGATCATCATGTGCTGAGTGGCTTGATCTGTGGGTGGGTAAGTATCTCTTAGTGAGGTGGTCAGGGTTGGTGTATCAATCTTAGTGAGGTGTTGGTGTTGGTATATGGTATTTATGCTGCCATCTAGTCTGGACATAACTGTTTTGAAGTATCCAATTAGACAATTAGCCAGTTATTTGTGTTACTATGATTATAGCCATGCCTTATGCTAACATTTTTCAGAGCACTACAGAATACTGGTAAGTGCATTTTTGAGCAGAGCAGGTGTGGTGAACTCAAAGCTAACAGATATGATTTCTTTATTAATAATGTATTTTATGTAAATGTAATTACTTATACCATGTGCTATTTCTTACTGTTCTAGAACATTCTAATTTGTGTAGGTGCATACACATGTATATATTCTACCCTTCCACGTTTTTGTTCAGTTCTTGTTCTTTTGTTCTTTGTTCTGTTCTTGGTCCCTTCTGGCTCTGTTTCTTCTCTTCTTTATTTTGTTTGTGTTTGGAGTGATTGCCAACCGTTTGTGCTAATCATTTTATTTATTCAGTGTATTTAACACCTTCTCATTGCTAATTCTACGCTCCAGACATAACAGCAGGCAACCCTGGCATTCCATCGTGATAATTTCAGTTTCATAGTTTTTCCTCCTCAATATGTATACATGCATAATGTACACTACAGACTCTTTAACACTACACAGGAAATCTTAGATCTATTTGCACCAAATGGTCTCTCTTGATAAGTTGTAATGGTAAATCCCTTTAACATCATGCAGTATTGTTGCTGCTATTGTTAAATCATGTAGTCATGTACACACAGGGAGTGGGCCACACTACACTCAGTACACTGTAATCTATTTACAAAACTATCTGCTGTGCTATCATAACAGTTTCACATGATTTGATAACACACCCAC